GGGACGGAGCGTGGAGCAACAAGTCCTTGAGGTATGCATTGCCCTCTGTAAATATTTAATTTTGATTATTATGCTATAACGTAACGTTCTGCTTTCAAGAATCCTAATATGGTCTAAGATGTGGATTTTCTTTATTTTCCAGTCAAATCCGGTTCTTGAAGCATTTGGCAATGCAAAAACAGTGAGAAACAACAATTCAAGGTGCACACAAGTTACATTTAAAATGCCTTATATTGTTTGTATGTGTGTGTGTGTGTATATATTTTACAGAGAAAACCACCAAACTCGGTGGGGTAAGGTCTAGGAAACCCTTACCAAGTTTATTAAGGAGAGAGATATGTTACACGTTTGGGGAGGACTAGACCAACACCCCAAGGGTAAAAAGAAAAAAACTAATACATGGCAAATTAATAACAAAATTAAAAACAAAGAATCACTACTCTTCTTCAGCTGTGTGTGTGTGTGTGTATATATAGACTATTGTTGTACGGTGTGTAGTTGAGAACAATGACATCATTCCAAGGATGTCATCTTTGAGATGTTGTTGGAAGAAGGCTTAGACCTAGTATATGATTTGTGCCCTATAAATATCTTGTGATACTCCTTAGTTCCATCTAATTTTTTTTATTCAGGGGCGAATAGTTCCTTTTCTCAGCGTGTCCAATTCCTTTTTCTGAAAAGTGTTTTCACTGGTAGTGGTTCGTAAAATTTGAGTTACTTCATATCTTTAGAAACATCTGTGCTGAACTTTAAACTCAAATTCGCTGCTTGATCACAATTTTACACCATGGTAGTCCCTAAATTTTTTTTACCAATCCATATATATAGCTTATGGCTGGCCATGAAATGCTTCATCAATTATCTTGTGTCCAGACCCATGTGTATGTAATACTAAAAAAGAAATTTATCTTGTGGCCAGACACCTCAACAAAATGGGATGGGGGATTGCTGAATGTAAGAACCGTCATTTAGTGGTCACCACTTGCACACTCTTATCACATTCCGACACACAACCTAAATACTACTCTGATGCCATCCTCAATGCTTTCCATCACATTAATCAGATGCCTTCCTTCTTCAAAACAAAGTTCTTTATTTCGTTCTCTTTTCTACTTGTGAGTTGTTCCCTTTACCACCAAATATCTTTGGATGTGTCTATTTTGTTCATGATACAACACCCAGACATTCTGAAACCACTCTCAAATCAATTTTTCTTGGGTATTCACGACTCTAAAAAGAACATTGTTTCTATTCTCCAATGCTAAAACGTCATTATGCATCTGCTGATGTCAACAAAGCTGATGTCACTGTAGTTGAGTCCTCGTTCTACTACAAACTTTCTCAGACTACCCTGATTATCAAATGTCTGACCTTGTCCCATATCTCTGACCCATCTCCCGTGAAGTCCAGCCTATTATGCTACCCAAGATACTACTTTACCAATCAATGAACCTGACACCATTTCTGCAATCCACATACCTGTTTCTTGAAGAATATCCAAAACATATTTTCCTTAAGGTATAAGGAGACAACATTGTCATATCAATACTGAGAGATTGTGATGCTGACTGGGCTGGTTGTCTGATAGATATACGATCCACGTCCGGGTATTATATCTTGATTGGTGTGAACTTAATCTCTTTGAAAAGAAAGAAACAAGATGTGGTTGCAAGATCTAGTAAAGAAGCATTTTACCGAGCAATACCAATCAATGTCTCTAGCTGCATTTAAGATCTTATGGCTGAAATACCATCTCCAAGTATTAAGGTACAGGAGCAAGGAACCAGTTCAGTTGACATGTGGCTATCAAGAGGCAATACACATTGCATGAAAGCCATTGTTTCGTGAGGACCAGACTCAATGCAAGATTTGTAGCTGAAGCATATAATTCATACAAACAATAAACATTCATACATCCCGTCAAAGTCATTTAGAGGTCCCAGACGAAAATACATTTGTAACAAGCTTGGAGCATATAATTCGTAATATTGCCGTAACATGTGTAGTCTTGGAAGTTGAAACATGACTTCACTTAAAGATATCATCTTTGTGATGTCATTAGAAGAAAACTTAGACCTAGAAGATGACTTGTCTCCTATAATTGCTATAAATTATGTGTGATCCTTCTTTGTTGAAAAAGTAAAACTCTATTTTTTTCACAAACTTACTACGACCTGTATTCTTGTTCTTTGAACTGATCAATGTCTGCTTCTGAATCATGTACTTGTGGCAGTCGTTTTGGTAAGTTTGTTGAGATTCAGTTTGATAAAAGGGGAAGAATCTCAGGTGCTGCTATCAGAACATATCTTTTGGAAAGATCTCGTGTGTGTCAGGTGTCTGATCCTGAAAGAAACTATCATTGTTTCTATATGCTTTGTGCGGCACCACCAGAGGTAATTTCTTTATCTTGAAAATTTATGAAGATCTGCATTTGGATTAGGGAGTCCCCCCATTTGCTTCCGAGTTATTGGTTTATTTCCATGTTGATTGAAATTCTTCAATTCAGTTTCTGCTGATCTTTTTACTCTTTTGTTTCTTCCATTTCTGAATGGCTTATCTAAGAATGCAATTTTTTTTGTTTCATAAATGGGATGAACTGATGAGGTGCCTTGCCGCCATCAAAGTGTTGGGAACTTTTGATTTTAACCTAGTAACGGGTTACTCGGAATGTTCAAGTGGTTTATTGAATTACTCTGTATGTTGTTAATTTTGAATGTACTTTGTCTAATTACAACGACAACAATAACAAAACCAATGTAGTCCTACACGTGGGTTTGGGGAGGTTAAGATGTACATACCTCACCTCTACCCATGAAGGAAGATACACTGTTTGTCTGTTTCCAATCGACCCTAAGCTCAAAAAGGACAACGGAATACCAAAATAAGGAAAATAATTTAAGGTAGAAACATAAAGAGATTCACTACAAGTGAAGCATCATATATTTTGTACCATTGTTTACAAATAAGTGTGTTTAGCATTGTATTTGTTGTTTCGAAGGACACATTTTTTATCGATTTTACAACTAGTAAAATATTACCTTCGTTCCAAAGTGAAGTTCCCATTGCAGTCTACGATGTTTAACTAGAGTTATTTTCAATGAAATTTATTTGAAAATTGGCGTGGAATTAAAAAATAAAATATATAGCTTTCAAAAAAATAAAATTTATATATTTGAAAACTACATCAAAGATTCTATTAAACAAGAAGGGGAACATGATATATAATTTTATGTAATGAGTAACGTAAAGAGGCAAAGAGAGTGGAAAAAGTTGACCATGTGAATAGTGAAGGGGAACTTCATTTTGGGACGGAGGGAGTAGTAAATTTGAGTCCTTGTTCAATGTTCAATTGCCCCACTGCCCCGTACAATCTTTTTCTACAGCTAGGTGTGTCATATGATTTAAATTCTGACCAATAATTGTCCTCCAAGATGTTAGATTGTTTATGTCAACTCTTCAACTTGTTTCCTAAAAGTGATTATATTCATGATCCTCAGTTATTAATCATCAACTTTAGAGTATCACACTTATTACCATAACTTCTACTCCTGTTTCATTCATTCATACTTTATTCCTTTTCAAATAATTGTTATCAGGATGTTGAAAAGTACAAATTGGGGAATCCTAGGAAATTTCATTATCTAAACCAGTCAATTTTTTTTGAATTGGACGAAGTGGATGAATCTAAAGAATACCTCGCCACCAGGCGAGCCATGGATGTTGTAGGGATCAGTTCTGACGTGCAGGTATTAGAATTAAAACACTATTATTTATAAAAGGATGACCTGGTGAAGATGCTATTAATAAATCCATTGGCAGGATGCCATTTTTAGAGTTGTGGCTGCAATACTTCACTTGGGCAACATTGAATTTGTGAAGGGAAGCGATCCTGATTCTGCAGAACCTAAGGATGATCAGTCTCGCTTCCATCTTAAAACTGTGGCTGAACTTTTCATGTGAGTTTCTCTGTACATGTTTCTCAACATATCTTAGATTGATAAGACAAGAGTTCGTGTGTTTCCAGTAGTAAACAATACAAAACGAATCCACACTACTCTTCAGTAATCTCCTAAGAAATACATTCGCATAGTAACATTGAGCACTACTCTTCTATTGTTTTACAGACCTAGGGGCTCGACGAAGATAGTCATCTCTACGAAACCGTTTTTGTGTCTACTCTAAACTGTTTGATTGGTTAGTTGCCAAAATTGCTAGGTTTTGCAGTCCTTGTCAGTATCGGATGTAGCACATTTTTACGTATTTTCTTATTCAGGCTTGTTGAAAAGATTAATAAATCTATTGGCCAAGATCCCGATTCTCAGTTGTTGATCGGGGTTCTTGATATTTATGGATTTGAGAGTTTCAAGACAAACAGGTGCTTAGCTGGTATGCTTTTAATTTATTTTCATCATACATAGAGGTTCATTTCTTGCAGAGCGTGTATTAAAGTTCTGTTAAAATATATTGTCATGTAACTAGTACTCCAGTTGTTTAGTTTCTTCTTTTCTGATAGGTTTATGTTATGAGCTTGGATCGTTTCTCTTAGTTTCATGAGCTACTAGATAGTTTCACAGAGAACGAAACAACAATGAGGGATTTTTTAAAGACAATAAAATTCAATAAAGTTTAATTAATCAAGCCATAACCCAAAGTTCAATGCTGGCACGGTTTGTGCTATTAATTCTCCTTTCTTTTTCATTATAAAGGTTTGGTAAACAAGCCTTGCCCGTCAATATTTTTTGCAAGTGCAGTTTTATTAAATACTCCTGAGGGTTTTTATTTTCTGCAAATGAAAGTAATCTCTTTCATGCAGTTTCGAACAGTTTTGCATTAATTTGACCAATGAAAAGTTACAGCAACATTTCAACCAGGTATGTACCTGACATATATTTGACTATCATAGCAGTAAATCTTAAATAGTACTCCCCCCGTCCGGAAAAGAAGTTCCCGATTTGACTTTTCCTCATTTTTAACAAGGATTGACCCTAAGCATAATTTGTCTAAAATGCCCTTGGCACCAATCCCTCACTTGAAGGCTTGTAACTGCCCCACCTCGAATTACCGCCACCGCACCCCATCGCCGCCCCAACTCCCACTACCACCAGCCCCACCGCCGCACCCAACCTATCATCACCGTCGACCCACCATCATCAATCCAACCCCAGCATATCACTGCTAACCCCCGCCACCATCATCGGCAACCTCCGCCACCATCGCCGGCAACCCCACCGTCATCACCCACCCTACCATTGCCCCAAGCTGCCACCATCGTTTGACTTGGGAAAAAGAGAAAAAGAAGTAAGGGAGAGAAAGATGAGACGAAGAAGAAAATGATGATGATATTAAAAGCATAGATCTGCATAGATCTATCGCAAATCTTCGCAGATCTGAGAAGACAAGCAAGGGAATGAAGGGGGGAAAAGAAGGAAAGAAAAAAGGAGTAGGATTCAATTTGGGGGGAAGAGGAGGGATAGAAAAAAAGGGGGATTCTAGTAGAGAAGAAGAAGAAGAATGAGAGAAGGAGAAGAATGGGAGAAGAAGAAGAAGAACAGGGGATCGGGTGGGGGGAGAGAGACATAAGGATGAGATGATAGATTAGAAAGAAAAAGAGTGGCTGGTGAGGGATAAAGAGCCGAGAAGAGGATTGTGATTTGTGAGTGAGTAGGAAGGGTATTTTTGGAAGAATGGGTATGAAAACGTATAATGGGAACTTTATTTCCGGACGAAGAAAAGCATAGAGTGGGAACTTTTTTTCTGGACGGAGGGAGTAATTGATATTAGGTTTGTTATTTTCTTTTGCAGCATGTCTTCAAAATGGAGCAAGAAGAGTACACCAGAGAAGAAATTGATTGGAGTTATATAGAGTTTGTTGATAACCAAGATATTCTTGATCTTATAGAAAAGGCAAGTGTATTTATTTAATCATGAACTCAAGCTAGATTTTAATTCTACTAAAATGTGTGTAGGCCTGTAAGTTTGCTGCTGGCATTTTGCCTCTTTATATATAACCATGCACGTGGGATTTAACCAAGTTGTTGTTGTTGTTGTTGCTGTTGTATATATAACCATGCAACAAAGTTAGTCTGCTTGCTAAGGTTCATGCAGAAGCGTTGCAACTGATGTTTCTGTCAGCCATTGAATTCTGCCACCCCTCGCCTTGCGTCCATGAGTCCAAGGCGCTCCCCTTCCTCTCCTATCCTGCACCTCTACTTGGTGATAGAGTGTAGCCTCAGTGCCCGGTGTGTCTCTATCATGAGCCTTAGGTCCATAGAATATCATGTGAAGGTATGCCTTTTTAGGCTCAAACCCATTGTGATTATTCTTATGTGTGAAGGTATGCCTTTTTAGGTATATCAAGGGTGTACCTAAGAATTTTTCCCTCTAAGGTACCTCAGGCATGAGAGGCGCTTGTCTCTCACCACTATGTTGTAAATAAGTTCTCTTAGCAAAGCAATGAGATTCATGATTTTACTAGGTTAGATGCTTAGAGAGTATATACTTGACACTTCAGGGCTCAAATCTTGCTTTGCCTAATAATTCATCAACCCATGATAGAGAACCCCTTTCTTTCGAGTATGCAGATTTGCAGATAAAATAAAGGGATAACCAAGATACACGAGAACGGATATATAATGCTCTTTTCACTATATGCTTGTGTATTAATTCTTACAATGTTCTTTTATTTATTTAGGAAGAAGTATTTCATTTAGTTAGCAGTATTGTCATTTTAGTTGAGTTGAAGGAGGAGGAAGAATGTGGGTCATAACACCCAAATTTCAGCAAATATATTCTTGGCCGATCAAGAAGTTGATTGTCCACGCACTTTGAAAGAACTCAAGATAAGTAGAGAGAATTAAGGAAAGAAAATTGCAATTGTATTATGAAATCAGGATCATATTCCATAAAATAATGAAGATGAAGGAAAACCTTTATCAGAATATTTTCAGAATGAGCCTCAATATCTATTGAAGCAAAGTAAATATCAATCCTTAAAATTTAGACCCACTAACACATTACTTAGTTACTGTTTCCAGAACATAGGCCACTTACAAAATACTTATTACTTAGTACCTGAAAATCTTTACAATGAACAATTGACCCAGTAAACAAATGGCCCTAACAGAGTCTACTAAATACTCCATAAAATATACTTAAACAAAATACTCCGTAAATATTAATAACATAAAATCAAAATAATTCTCTCATCGTGACTCTGCATATTTGGTACCATGTCACACTTGTTTTCCTCAGTGTCTGTCTACCACTACAACCACGTCGCTCGCAACACTTAAAACCATGCGTCAGTATCTTGCTCGAAGATTCCTCCGTAGGTCTACATGTCTACACTAATGCTGATCTTTTTGTACAAGGCTTATATTTGAATTCTCTAATTTTGAATCCTCCATTTGTCTCTCTCTTCACATCTACACTAGCACTGATCTTTCTTTACAAATCCTATGTTTGAATTCTCTCATGTGTGCATTTGAAAAACATGTAAGTAAAATGGAGGAAAATTCCTATGTAAGAAATAAGAGGAAACCAATATGAAAAGAAAAATATCCTTGGGGGAGACCTGAATAAGTTGTTATTGAATTATGCTTCCTTGACGTCTTATTTGGTCTTGCAATTTTTGTATATAGTCATCTGTACTACTCATGCAATTCTTTACATCAGTTTTTTCTCTCTGTGCACGCACTTATTATTCTCTCTTACCCTTAATTGAATATCAATGTTATTATTATTATTATTATAGAAACCTGGTGGAATTATTGCTCTGCTGGATGAGGCCTGGTAATATATGTTCAAATTATAGAATTCTCCTTCCATTTCTTATTCAGGTTGTCTACTAGTTTTGCTTGACGCTTACAAGCCTTGCTTACTCCTTGTAGCATGTTCCCAAGGTCGACACATGAGACCTTTGCTGAAAAGCTTTATCAGACCTTCCGAGACAACAAACGCTTCAACAAGCCAAAGCTATCACGGACTGACTTCACTATTGTCCATTATGCTGGTGAGGTATGCATCTCTTATGATGTATTTATTATTGAAACATGTGCTTCACTTGCTCTAAAAGATTATAACATTAGCAAGGATACACTCATTATTTTTACTTTATCTATCCTCAGTGTGCCTCTTCAATTCGTGGGTGGGTGATCTTTCTTGGCGGGCCTAAGACATGAAAACATTTTGTTTAGTGGTATTCAACTCTAGGACTATTAACTTGCTTTTTTTGGTGTATTAAAGTATGTGTTATACCTGACAAACTGTTAATGAGGATACATATTGGTTTATTTATTTATCGATGGAAGGTTTTGCTATCTGCATTTTTACAACTAAAAATTGTTGTCTCAGGTCACATACCAAACTGAATTATTCTTGGATAAGAACAAAGACTATGTCATTGCAGAACACCAAGAACTCCTCAGTTCTTCAGGGTGCTCTTTTATCTCAGGCTTGTTCTTACAACAACATGAAGAATCTTCTAAATCATCAAAGTTTTCCTCTATTGGCACTAGATTTAAGGTATGCTTTCACCATTCTCCATTACAAGCACTAGATTATGCAATTTATTCATTTAATCCGGTTTTTGAAGTATACTAGTTTGGCCTGTTGTAGTGTTCACCTAAACAAATATCAACTTCCTTTCATAACTTCATTAAATGATTTAATAATATTAAGTTACCAACAAATAAGAAAGTAAGAATAATGCCTTTTCATGCTTGACACAAGGTGAAAATACTTCAAAGAGTTTGAGAGCGAATCAGTTCGTCTTTGATATGTACCGAGCCCCATCTATATCTAAACAATGATGTCATCATCACCCAAGCAATGATGTCATTTGTTATCTACAAGCTGTCTATTTTTCTTATTTTCCACACATCCCCTCAAGTTGGAGTTTATAAAATAAACACGCCAAGCTTGCTGCAAATGTATTTTATTTTAGGCCTCAAGTTATTTTGCTGAAATTTATGAAAGCTGATTATCTGTGGTGACAGAGCTAATAAATAGTGGAAGCATGGTGATAACTAAGAAAAATGCATAGTGTCACAATTAAGATTGGAATGCATACCTTTTCATAGAGACTAGCAAACTATCATAAATTCATAAGTGTCCCTTTATTCATGGACAAGCCAATTTTTGGTGGAACCAAATACATTGTAAGGGAAGCGGTGGGCTCATCTTTTGGAGCCACATTAAGAGTTGGACGATGACAACAATGATAAACTGGTAAAGTCAATCACATGTAGGGGGATGGTTTACAGATTGTTTCTTTGGTGATTTCTGGAGAACCAATATGTTGAAAAGATATAATTTTGAGATTAGGACTAAAGTCCGAGGATTCGAATGTGGAGGAGTGTGATAACATTAGGACTACATTTTTACGGCTCTTTAATATCACTCTCCATGCCTATCTTTATAAAAGATGTAATGACCTTGTATATTATACAGCAACAACTGCAATCATTGCTTGAAACACTTACTGCCACAGAGCCTCATTACATCCGTTGTGTAAAGCCCAATAATCTTCTTAAACCAGCCATCTTTGAGAATCAAAATGTACTTCAGCAACTTCGATGTGGGGTATGCTTCTTTAATTTGCTCTAATGTAAAATGATGTTTACGTTTTGCAACTTGCTCAAAAGGAAGTTATGTTGTTCTAGGGGGTTATGGAGGCAATTAGGATTAGCTGTGCTGGATTTCCCACTCGGAGACAATTTGATGAATTCATTAAACGTTTTTCTGTCCTTTGTCCTGAAGTGCATAGTAGCAGGTATTTGTGTTAACAACTGTTGAATGCATTGAGATTTAGATGCTTCAAGGCTTCTACCTTATTAAGATTTACTTCTATTTCCACCATCACATAATTTTTTCTTTTCCCAAATATTTAGATATGATGAGGTCATTGCTTCCAAGAAAATTTTAGAGAAGGTTGGCCTCAAAGGTTATCAGGTAATTTATATTCTTTTTATGTAGCTACTCCACTCCCCCCCTCTGTGAGCAGTATCATTGTGGTTGCCTTTTCCTCTTGGGCACATCTCCAGTGGTTGTTCAGCCCATTCGACACCACCAATTTAAAAGATTTACATCCCAATATCCTTTTTCATAGCAGATCTTGGCCCAAACCTTGCACCAGTGTCACTGTCTCTCATAGATGAACTCATCAGTACTTCTCATATCCTTTACCAACATTTAACTGTTGATCGTTGACTGGCATAGTGGCACTGGCCTGATTTTTCTAGAATTTTTATTCGGCGTTTCTAGTACTACAGGGATACCGTGAAGGTTTCTCATACATTTTAATGGTTGTTCCAAGTTCCCCCTTTTCTTCAAGGCACTAAGCCTTTTCTTGAGTAAATTCCATAAAAGGTCCCGAGTTATAGGTCGTTTTACATATTTTGTCCCTACATATCAAATATTACTAATTTAGTCCCCAATTATTATATTCATTTCCACGAATGGTCTTTTGTTAACATTTCCGTTAACAACGTGGATAAAATTGTAAGTTCACACTCCTTTCTCTCCTAAATTAAGCTTCCTCCCTCCCCTCGCACTCCTTTCCCCTAACCGATAAAACTCATCCATAAAGTTTATTGGTTATGATTTTGGGTTCCACCAGGAAACTAAAAATTGAGAGAGGAATGGTCGTTTTAGTTTTGGGTTAGTTTAGAGCTTCAAACTCAGTGACGAGTTTGAGAAAGAGTAGGAGAGGAGGGAGAAAGCTTAATTGAGGAGAGAGAAGTATGAATATACAATTTTATTCACGTTCTTAACAAAAACGTTAACAAAGGACCATTCGTGAAAAATGATATAATAATTAGGGACTAAATTAGTAATATTTGATATGTAGGGACTAAATATGTAAAACGACCTATAACTGGGGACCTTTTATGGAATTTACTCCCTTTTCTTTTAGTGTTAGAGTGTGTGCTGTTGTGCTCTTCATAGGCTCTTTGTGTTCGGTTGGCCCTTGGCATTTTCATCTTCATCCCTAAGGGTCATCCACTTTTATATATAGTTGCTTGTTCCGAAGCCTTCTCGGTACTGTTATAGTGTTATCTTCTCTTATGCTTATTGTTGGTAATTTTATGTTAGGTCATTGTTTGTATTACTTCAAGC